ACAATGCACTGGTGAATGCAGAATTCTTGTGTTTTTTATTATTATTATTAATAATAATAATTGCTAGTAATATATACTCAGCTTATTTAAAGTGTTCAATAAAAACTGAATGTCCCAGCGACTCAGGCTTCTGTCTCTTGGATGCACATCAGATGCAGAGGGCAGCCTGGTCCCAAAAGCTTGCACAGTCTTGCCTAGGGCTTCTGGGGAGACCCTCGGAGACCACAAGCCAACCTGGCTTAGCCCAAGATCTCAGGCCAAAGTGGCCATCTCAGTTGAAATGGCTTTGGTCAAATTCCCATTTATTATTTAAGTTCTTTGGGTTCGTGCCCTTGAGTCTGTGTTCGTGGCAGTACACAAGAAAGCAAAGAGCAGACAAGCTGTGTCTCTTTATTGCTACAAAGTGGGTTCAGCCAGCGGGTAAGACAGAGGAGTGACACGTGCCACCTCAAAAAAGCCTGCCTTTAACACCCTTTTGCTCTTCAAGCAAGCTAATTCTCATAGCAATTCATCAGCTATATATGGCACACAAGACCCCGTAATACACTAAGAGCGTTTTCGCCTGGTTGAACATGACTTCCTCTGGTCTTGCCTGGTTGCAATGTTACATCACGGCTATTTTGCCTAATCTTTGCACGTGCACATGTGTAGTAACTATTTAAAATGTCTTGCAAAGCCATCAGTCCACTGCAAGTGCCAGAGTTGCTTTTGCTTTTGCAATGTGCCATCACATCGTACAATCCTAAAGGTCATTGCTTTACTTCCTAATTAGCAAAAAAAAAAAAAAAAAACAAACCCCACAACTGTCAGCACAGACGCCAGCCGCTTCAGGTACAGCTTCCCTCCAGCGCCGAGGCTTTGCCGAGTCTGTTGCTTGCTGGGTTGCCTGACAGCCGTGGCCAAGCTGCTCCTGCGATGGATGGGACCAGACAGAAAGTCCCTGCTGTGGGGAGGGCATCTGGCCGGGTGTGGGGTTGTGCTGTCCCCCACTCCCATGTCCTTGCACGCCAGCACCGTGGCTCGCTCCATGCTGGGTATGTTGCATGGCTGCAGCACTGAGCATCAGGGCCCGGGATCCCCATCACACACCAGCCCAAGTGCCCAGAAAGACGCAGGGTACCCTGTGCAGGTGTGGGGCTGGGCTGTGAGACCCGTACCGTTCTACTGAAGCACATCAGCTGGGGAGAAACGACCACTGCCACCGCCTCCCCCAGCCTGCATGATGCCCGAGCGTCACTGGGAAGGACCTGGTGGGCAGGGGTCTGTGGGAGGGAAGCAGGTTGCTTGCATGGATGGGACATCTGGGCAGGGATGCAGCAAGGCTGAAGCAGAGGTGATGTGGGGTGCAGGTGCTGCAAAGAAAGGCAGAGAGCAAGGGTGAGGATGAGGTGCTGCCCAGTCTCCACAGCATGCAGTGGGGCTGGGAAGGTGGCTTGCAAAGGGATTTCCCCCATCTTTCCCCTTGCTGCACCACAGCTTGGGGGGAGGTCTCTTGAACTACCACAGGCCAGGGGCTCCCATGGCAGTGAAGGGATGGAGGCAAGCTCCGTCCAGCACAGCGAGGTGCCTGCATCCCTCTCCCTGTCCAACATGCCCCACGCAGAGACCCAGGCTCCCCTCTTTCCTCCATGCACACCCCACAGGCCCCACACACCCCTGGCACGGGCACACTCACGGCAGCGGTGCTGGGGCCAGCAGCCATCGTCACATGAAAGAGCTCGGTCCCGCCGCTTTCTCACAGATCCAGAGGTGCAGGTGGTCGGGACTGGTGCACTGGGCAGGTTTGATGTTCCCACGGGTTATTATGGCACAGGACCCGTTTGACTTTGACTGCCATGGCCTGGATGGGGGGAAATGACACATCAGGGGGCTGCCACCGACCTATCCACCACCCCCTGACGAATGCCTTTTGTACACTTGCACGGGAGGGGTTGAATGCTGCAGTCAAATGGGGGTTCCCCCAGTTCTCCCCTACCAATTTCACAGCCTGAAGCCTCAGCCAACACACTTCTGCCCTTCCTCGGGCAGGCTGAGAAACCCCTCTGCAAAAGGTTTGCATTGCCTGCGACTCCCTTGAGCCTCCCCTTAGCCTGAATCTCAGCCTTGCTGCTGGGGGATATTTCATCCCTGCGATGCCCAGTGGTGGGGAGACCCCAGTCCTCCCTGAGGGCACACGGATGGCCAGAGGAGCTTCCCTGGGCCGTGGGGCTGCGGTGGGCTGCAGCCCTCCATCGCAGGGCTGAGAATGGAGGGACAGGCAGTGGGCAGGGGCTGGGTACCCAGCACCCCACCAGATGGGTCTGTTCCTCCCCAATGCTCTCAGACACTGCAAGAGGAAGCAGTGGTGAGATGGCGAGGGGGTGCATGTGGCGGGGAGGAGCCCAGGACCCTCTGCAGGTGGGAAGGCCTGATCACCCCTCGAGGAAAGATCAGGGAGGCACATGGGGGAGAGAGTTGGTGCTTGAACACTTTGTCTAGACCCCAAATAAAACTTGCGGTTTCTTCTGTCCCCTCTCGCTGCCTCCTCCTTGCGCATGCTCTGCACGTGCTGCCCCCCAAGTCTTGGCTTTCCATTCGCACAGCCTCTCAGCATCTCATCACACCACTGCACCCACCTCCCCCCTGCTTTGATGCTCTTTATTGCCCAGTGCTTGTGCGTGGGAGTGGGTACCGCTGGGATTTAGAACACTTCCTAAAGCCATGATGAAGGAGAGGGGGTTTTGGCAAGAGGCTGTGCTGCCGAGTACCTTTCATAAAGGGAGCCATCCACCCAGAACCAGGCGTCCGAGACTCCCTCACCCTCCAGGTCCCCTTCCTCCAGCCAGCCGTAGTCGTACCATGGGTAGCTGCTCTTCTGCAGCCCGATCCAGTACGGGATGTCCGCATTCTTCAGAAAGGTCTGAGGAAGGAGAAAAAGGGGCTTTTAGTGGCTTTTCCATGGTACCTATGTACTGCAGTGTTTGCGGGGGGCAGTCACCTCCCCAGGGAGCCCTTGGGGCTGGAGGTCCTTGGGGCAGGACAGCTGAGCAGCCCTGGTGCCCTGTTGGGCAGCATCCAGGGGTGCAAGAGCCTCTCTGCTCCATGCCCACCACCAGCCATGTGCTCCAGAGATCAGCCTTGCACCCTCCAATATTTCAGCAGGCCAGGGGCCCCCAGAGAGGTGCTAGTCCATCTGGGAAGCTCAGGGCTGGATATACCAGCTCCTGCCCTCACTTTCCCCAGTACGCTACCGGCACGGTCCAGCGACTCCAGGATTTGGTGACCAGAAGCTGAGAATATTTCTTCTCACACTCATCTCTGCTTTCCTCCCATGTCTTCTTCTCCGACGAGATGAAGAGGCACTTGCCCCTGTACAGCAGCCAGCCCGAAGGGCAGCAATCTGGAGGCAGGGGCACAGCTCAGGTGCTTGCTTAGCCACAGATGCCCTGGGGGAGGACCAGGAACAGCCCCACATCTTCCCAGCAGAGATCACAGGCTCAGCCTCTGCTCCAGGCACAGCTTCAGCCTTCGGACCACCCCGCCTCCACCGTACGGCCAAAAAAGCCAGTGCCCGTGCCTTGGCACTGCACCTAAGGGGTGCCAGTCCCCCTGGGGCACCCCATCCCTTCTCCACCATTGCCCTACCTATAGCCGTGCAGGAGCGCAGGATGGCCACAGTGCTCTCGCTGTTGTTGAGCTTCCCCTGCACCTCCTGCATCTCCTTCTCCGTCTTTCCCAGGACCCCCATGACGCGCCTCAGTTCGGCGTTCAGGCTCCCCATCTCCAGCTGGCTGCTGTTGCCCTCCCTCCACGCTCGCTGCAGCTCTGCTCTGGCCCACGCCAGCTCCAGCCGTGCCTGCTCCAGGCTCTGCTCCCGTGCGCTCACCTCCTGCGAGAGCCGGTCCTGCTCGGCTGCGTGCTGACGGGCGGCGCGCCCTGCCAGTCTGGGGACAGGGTGGGTGAGCTGGGGCACAGCCATGGGACAGCCTGGGCAGGGGGACATGGGACTGACCCTGCTCGGGATGGGGGGCAGGATGGGCTGGGTGAGGTAGGGAGGTGTCCATGCTGGGTGGGAAAGTCACGGCAGGTCAGGGACTGGGTAGGAGCTGGCAGGGGAGAGCAGGGCAAGGCAGGACAGGGTGTAGGAGCAAACAGAGCAGGGCAGGGGCAGGGAGGGTGCAGCAATCCAAGGCTAGGCAAGGCTTGGAAGGGAAGGGAAAGGAGCAGAAATTGAGGTGAGGAAGGTGGGTGATGGGAGGCAAGGGTGGCACCTATGATGTGTGAGGGATACAGGCCAGCTTGTGGCAGACAGAGCAGAGGGACTCAGCCACAAGCAGAGTGCGTGGGCATGACTCTGTTCACCCCCCC